ACTACTAACTACTACTACACACACACACACACACACACACACACACACACACACACACACACACACACACACACACACACACACACACACACACACACACACACACACACACACAGAGTACGCTCACACACATTGCAAAGGGACTGTAAAGCAGACTCACAGGGTAAGCAGCTCGGACATGTTACTGAGGCTGTGGTTGGACAACGTGCTGATCTGGTTGTTACTCAAATCACTGAAAAGGAAACAATAGCAGATACATGAACCAAACCCAGGCAGCATTGTCAACACATGCTTAAACAAATGCATATACACACACTCAAAAACGATATGTACTACATATTCCTTGGACAACACTAGGTTAAAAAGTGATTCAATACAGAGCTCGGATTCAGTACCAGTCGGTTAGTTTTGGTCTTAAGAAGCAGAGTGCAGTGGAAACAGGAAGTCACGATCCTCATTCACGATCCTCAAAATTGTGTTTGACTGAGCAGAACTCTGACTTTGTGATGTGAGTGTAGGTGTGTCTGCCGTGGTCATGTGGGGTGAGACTTACATGAGTGTTAAGTGTTTGTAATCGGAGAGCTCCACAGGAACCTGAGTGAAGTGGTTGCCATCAAGATACCTGAGAAACAGAGAGAGGGAGAGAGACAGAAAGAAAGAGAGCGATAGGGAAAGATGGATAGACAGAAATATGCAAGATTGAGGAAGATTGGGAAAGTGAGAGAGAAAATTAGAAGGGAGAAAATTGAGTTATTTAGCCATGTAGGAAATTCCTCATCTCCAGCAGTGTGAGAGTCATTACTGCTGCAGCCATAATAAACACTGGAGTTTAATATCCCCACATGCATCTTATACGTTTTATCCAGCCTCGCACCCACAACTGAGATCATATTCAATTTGTGACAATGGGCCATTAATCCAGCATATTAATGAAGTCTTTTTTAATATTGGACAAAGCACATTTCCCACAGGTGAAATGGTGAAATAAAATAAAACCCCACCTAGCCTGCTGTTTAATTTAAAGTTATAATTTGATATACATCAGGGATTTTGTGGGTGTGTGTTGAGATGAGTTCTGGAATAAAATCGCTTCTGTGTACCTATGTCTCTATAAGCCTGGTTTCTAAAACTTCACGCATCATCTGACTGGTACAGCTCTAGTAACATAACAAAATAAGCAAGATGTACAAGATGAAGTTTTACATTTTCGAAAGTAGATAACTTTGATGCTTCCTTGGGGGCAAAGTTAAACAAAAAAGTGGGTCTTATCCCGACTTCACACCAGACTTAAGGCTACATAAGTATTACTGATGCGCCCACACATCCTCCGACCTCCGTTAAGTCTTCACTGTCCTCAGAGCCAGCTGCCCTGTCAGCTGCACAGCTCCTGAGGTGCTGACAGGACAGCAGGTGGGCTTCACCAGGCAGAGAATATTCACCCCTTTTATTGTAGCTATAAAAACCCAAAGTGAAACCAGAGAAACTTTTACATCAATCATCACAGATATAGGTTTATAATGGGAAACTGCAGTGCTGCCTATAGAGATTACATTTCATTGACATCCTGGGAATGTAGATTGATTTTAGTTTGCACCAATCAGTTTTGCCATGGATTGAACACTTGTTAAATTTGAAACAGATATCTTGTTAAGTTATTACTGTAAAATAATATATTGTATATCTTCAAATGTTGTGTTTTCCAAATGACTGATCCTTTTTCTGTTTACGTGTTGAGAAAATGCTCATACTTTTTAAGCTACATAAACAGAACAGTACTGTTATTGTTTAAATCAAAGTCGATTTTCTTGGAGATAAAAAGGTCTAATCTAAGGTTTGGAAAGAGAGTCATGTACTGTAGAAGACCGGACTCTTTTCTCAGACTAGTTATAATTATTTTGTGTTGGTCTCACTCACAGTTCGGTGGTCTCTTTGGGCAGGCCTTTGGGCAGCGTGTTGAGGCCCTTGTTGCTGCAGCGCACCACCGTGTCCAGACAGGAGCACTCTGCGGGACACCTCAGCACTGGGGAGCAGCTGTTCTCGTTGTTACCTGACCAAAGATGGATGGATAGGAGGAAGGATGGTAGATAAATGATGACGTAAAATTAAAACATATTTATTTTGGAGCTGCAGGTGACGCCATCTGTAAAGAATAAATATGCTCCATCTTACCATCTTCACAGGCAAAGTCCTGGGCAGCTACATCCTGTATGGGGATCTCCTTCAAGAAATAAGGATTCTGGCAGCGAGGGTTACCCGTGACGATGCGTTTCCTTCTGAGCCAATCACCGAGCCAGGCCAGGTGACAGTTACAGTTAAAGGGATTGGCCAGAAGGTTGCTGGAGAACAAAGAGAGTATGAAGGGTTATTTTGTGCCTGTGTGTATCTTTTACATTAATATGTGTGTGTGTGTGTGTGTGTGTGTGTGTGTGTGTGTGTGTGTGTGTGTGTGTGTGTGTGTGTGTACTCACAGTGTGGACAGGGAGTGCAATGTGTCGAAGGCTCCAGGGTTCATGGAGGTGATCTGGTTGTCGTAGAGCGACAGCAGACGAACGGAGCTCAACCCCACAAAACTGCTGTTACTCACACAGCTGATACGATTACTCCTCAGCATACTGCTCACACACAGACACAGAGGGACACACAAAGGATTTAATTTCCTACTTTGAAATATATATATATTATTTTCATGATAATACAAGCCTGTGAATTATGAATGCTCACATGTTTGTTTTACATGTTTTTGTGCGGTCAAATTTGAATTCTGCACACATCATTTATAAGATCATGTGAGTGCGTCTGCATTAATTAACTGTAATGTGTATGTGTGTGTGTGTGTGTGTGTGTGTGTGTGTGTGTGTGTGTGTGTGTATACCCACAGTGTGCGGAGGCCACCGAGTCCCTTCAGCATGAGGTGGTGTACGTTCTCCAGTCTGTTGGAGGTCAGGATCAACTCGTTGACCCCGGAGGCTCCTTCAAATGTCCCCTCCTCTATGTCAGTGATACGGTTATTGCTCAGGTTACTGCAAGGAAAGTTAAGAAGACAGTAAAAGAGAAAAGAGTTAAAAAATGAAGAGAGAGCATGAGGAGGATAAAAACAGCAATAGGGAATTGAGTACCAGTTAGAGAGAGTAGGGTAAATATAGACAAATGCACATGGTTCAATTTGATTTCTGTGTAAAAACCCGATTACAATCACAGCTTTCTCTGTGTGACCTGAGTACTGTTTCTGACAACCACATGTGACTCTTTGTTCCCGCTATGTTTGCAAAATGTGTGACTCACATCTTTCTCAGCTGAGGCAACTTTTTGAAGATCCCTGTCGCCTCGAGCACAGTGAATTCATTGTTGTTCAGACGCCTAAGAACAGAGAAGAGAAGAGGTGGTCAGAGACAAAAAGGGAGAACAACAGAACAAACGGAGACAGAAGAGGAGGAGGGAGGAGATCGAGGTTGAAGCAAGGTTCCCTCTATACCACACACAGATAGACTTTGTAGTAGAAAGCTACAGCGTGACTCACAGTTCGGCGGTGTACTGGGGGATGTGATCTGGTATTTTGGTGAGTTTCTGGTTGGAGCAGTCCACCGTGGTGCCCTCACAGCGGCACTTCTCTGGGCAGGCCAAGTCGGCGAAGCAGTCCCCTCCAAGCTTACTGCGGTAATCTTCAGTACCTGATCACAATCACAATCACAACGTCACAGAGTGCCCTCATCGTGCAAGAGTCGAATCCCAGCTTTTACTGGTATGTTCCAACATAAACACAGCACATGGCTGGAGTGACAGTTGCGATACAAAGGAAGAACTTCAAAACAGTGCAGAGGGGTTTGGCTGCTTTTGTTTTCAAAATTGTCAAAAAGATCCAAGCATGTTCAAAAAACGTTGGCGTTCATAAGTGTATGCAACATTCCCCATGAGCTACTGTATACTTCAAAATACTGCATTTGTATCAAAACCAAAACGGAGCCACGATTACAAAACACACACACTGAAAATAAATGTCACAACGCTTCCACACAAACGTAGTTTCTTTTTACAGTCCCATCAGACTACAAAGCAACTGTTAGAGTTAGAAACCACAGCACAAACAAGACAGATCATTGAGATCATAGTAGTAAAATGCTCACACACACACACACACACACACACACACACACACACACACACACACACACACACACACACACACACACACACACACACACACACAGGAAGAGCTATCAGTCATCTTTACACTCCACGCTGAGTTGAGCTGTGTTTGCAGGCAGTCTAAAAACATGTGTTTTCGATTGGCTTATATTTCATTGTGCTGAGTGGCTGTCCCTGAGAGACCTGTGGTTGGGAAACACACGATGCACTTCATTTATGTCTCACACACACATTAGCACATACTGTTTTGCGTGCACTGCCCACGCACACACACCCATGCACAGACAGAATCGATGGCTCATTTACGTCCTCGCTAACCAAACCCTGACACACAAAATGAAAACACAGTGCAGTTTATAATGGGAAAATCATACTTATGTAGTGTGTCAGCATGATGTGTGTGTCCCATTCTCTCTGTGGTGAATGTGTAATGAGGTGGCAGAAGCCTCCATTCAGCAATTCAGCGTTTATGAATTATTGACTTTGGAGAGACGAGACCTTAATATAACTCCTTTATGAAATAACGCTACATCCCTCACTCCCCCTCGTCTTTGTGTATGCTTTAACATACTTTCACACGCAAAGTCCGACCTGAGATTAGGATGTTCTTCTCAAAGTGCATCTGAAATGTCTTTATAATACGGCACAAATAAGGCAACAATAAAGGGTTATTTGAGTTATCGTAATTTTGGAAATGTTGCCTTTAGATTTGGCCAATATTGCCAGCCATAATAATAAGAGGAACAATTCAACAGGGCAAGAAACATGAACAGTCAGGTTTTCAAAAACAAATCTGTGCTTAATGTCTTTTTATAACTGTTAATCTCTTTTTTAAATGTCAGAAGGATTTGAGAACGAGATGGGAAAATAAATGTTAAGTTAATAAAACCATAAAGGCATTAACATTATTCGAAACTCTGTTTTAATGGTTTTAGCATCCGATTCTGCAACAAAAGAACTCTAACGTGTGCTTTAAGTGGTATGTATTCCTCCTGAGGAAGGGCCATATTGTGGTGTTTTGTTAAAACTGCATCCTAGATACAAACATCACTCAGTACTCACAGAGAGTTGAGGGAGCGCAGACCTTGGAAGGCGTCTGAGGCTAACTCGGAAATCTGGTTGTTACTCAAGTCACTGTGAAGAACAGAGCCAGAAAAAAGAAACAAGAGACAGCGAGGGAGAGAGGGAAAAAAAAGTTAAACATGGAGGTCAACACAATCAGGGCAGGAACAGAAGTTTTTGGTTGACAGGGTGCAAAATACATGAATCTCTTAATCTACTCACATCCTGCGCAGCTTCTTATAAGGAGAAAAGGCTCCAGCTGGGATCACCTTGATGGCGTTCTGCTCCAGTCGTCTGGAACCAGAAACATACACACGGGCCATTGAGGAGCGACATTAACATTTGCTTATCACAGGGCTATCTCCGCTCTATCTCTCTCTGCTGCTCATTCCCGGGGGCTCGGGCTAAAGTGGAACATTTCCCAGATAAAGCGCTTTGAAGACAGATGCCAAAAAGTCAAATGTCTCTGATCTTTTACCCTCTTAACATGCGTGCAGTCAGAAAGACACACAAACACAGGGCCTTAACTATCTGGGCAATGTTCCATTAAGTGCCAGTCTGACTCTGCATCAGTCGGGCCTAAACAAACCAAGCCTGAGAGCCATGAGAGAGAGAGAGAGAGAGAGAGAGAGAGAGTCAAACAAAAGAGAAAAGAGACCCAAACACCCATTCTCCAAACATTTCACGTGTTCAGTCACTGTGAGAAGAAGACGGTGGAACATGATTTGCAAATCAACCATTCGATTTGGAAACATTTCCCTAAAATGAGATTGTTTTTCATTTGTTGTTCTCTGCCGTTTAGCTTCTCTCCAGTCCTTTCTTTAATACTAACATCTTTGACCCAACACACAGGAGGATTGTATTTCATTGTATTGTAATGTATCTGTTTTTCTTTTTGTTTTGTATTGTATTCTGTCAAGTGAATAGATATGAGTGCAATTCATTTGTGAAGTCTTAAATTGAGCCAAGGCCTGAAAAATCATCACAAAAGGTCTAAAAAAAGTACATCTCAGAATAAAATCATTAAACTATAAGTCAAATCACAAGTCTGGTCAAAGCATCAAGTCAATTCTCAAATCCACATAAAATCTTAAAGTATTATCCGGTCAAGTCTAAAGGAATTTGAGACAAGTTCAGCTTAAGTCTTCATAAACACACATCTCTCAATGCTTACCACTTCAATGATAAAGTATTTGAACATTGTCAATTAAAAGCTTTGTTTGCGTTCTTTACATGCTTTAGCTAAACCCAATTCCTTTAAATAATGAAACATAGTAAATAAATATTCAATAGTCCAGGATTTTGCCAGAAAATTTAACAGCAGTCTCGCTCAAGTCACGTGTACAGTCCTCCTTTTGGGTACTTTGTCACTTTAAATTTGCCAGCTATCTTCTTGATGCCCCCTTTAGATAGAGATATGATTAGTCTTGTCCTTCACATTAATCTTTTGGTTCTTTCTCCCTCATTCCTTCATTATGTTCTTAAGCAGGAAAGATCTGCATGACCAGGCTTTCTAATTTCACAGATGTGTGGTTTTATTCCACTGTACAGAGAGAAAGAGACGTAGTGAAAGTTAAAGGTGGAACAAGGCAAAGAAGAAAATGGAGAGAGGCACAGTTAAAGAGCAAAAGAAATATCACTGCACCGAGAGTTGGGTGTAGGAGTGCATGCATGTGAATGTAGATCAAAGTAGGTGTGTATGTGTTCATGTGTGTCTTACATCTCAGTGATGGTTTCAGGCAGGTTGGTGGGTATTTCTGTCAGTCCCTTCCCTCTGCAGTCTACGATGTTGTTACTGCAGGTACAGGACTCTGGGCACTGTATCACACTGCAGGAGGAAGATGATGACGACTGGTGACCTACACAAAGACAGAAGGCCAATATTATCCATGGATAACTGTAATACTAGGTGGTAATCCCCAAGGCAAAATGTGTTAAAGCTGATAGAGACAGCCAAAAAATCAAAGTGCGAAAAAGCAGCAACTGTGCAAGTGAGAGAGTCCTTAAATGTGACCTTGTCTATCCACAGTACAATCATCAGTCTTTTTATATAAAGTGCTGTAAAGAAAAATCTGATGAGTACACATTTCAGGTAGTGCAGTGCTTGGAAGCCAAGCCATGCAATAGAAGATGAGTACTTGCCTTCGTCCCAATCTTGAAAAGCATGAGCAAAAGACAAAGCAACGAGACAAAGCAAAAGATGGGTTTGCCACTGCAAACACAGCTGTAAGTCACAAAATACACAACAAAGCAAACAGTCATCTGGACCTACCTGTGCAGGCAAACTCCTTCTTCTGCACCTCAGCCACGTTGTGCCCCCTCAAGTGTGGAGGGGCCATGCATTGTGTGTAGAGACCCAGGCGGGGTCGCTGTCGCAGCCACTCTGACAGCCAGGCCACGTTGCAGTCACACTGCAGGTTGTTGGAGTGCAGGCGACTGGGGACGAGAGGAGGGGGGGGAGGGTGAAGGTGATTACAATAAAGGAGAGAGAAGAGGGGGTACAGACAAGTGGCAAGCACAGGTGTTGGGAAGAAGGGTGAGAAATAATAGATTTGAGGACAAGGGAGAGGAGCAGGGTGGGTGGAGGTAGGGGGGAAGAGGAGGGTACAGATCGATCAATCAATTGTACAAACGGGCCTTAATGAGGGAAATCCCTCCCATCGGATAAAAATGTGTAGCAAACACTTACAAGGTCCTTAGCTTCGGCATGTGGTTGAAACTGGCCACAGACAGACGGCTGATGTTGTTGTTGTTGAGGGTGCTGCAGACAACATTTTCAGAAACACGACGCCATTTAGATTCCTTAGATGCAACATGCACTGCAATTATTCAACACCTTGGCAGCAATTATACTGAAAGCAGCCTCAAAATTAATGAATTTAATTAATAATAGTAATTATACTGTATATATATATATATACAGTATACATATGTATCCACACTTGTTTTCAAACCATAGGTTGGACAGTTAAAAAATGTGCATTTAAAATTAAATGTAAAAATCCCAAATGAATATGTCAGTGATATTTACAGCTCATAACTCAACATTCAAAGTCCTTTTGCATCTTTGTGCTGCAAATGATCAGTCATTTTGAAATGGAGCCAATTTGCCTAATTGTATGTTGTAAAGTATCTGTCAATAAGAACATCAACACGTTTTTAGTCAGACAGAAAAGGAGTCACAAAAGTGGCAATAATGATGTTGGGATCAATTCATTCATTAAAAAGATGATGATCAGGCATCAAGTGTCCCTGCTGAAATCATATGAAACTCTCTTTTTTTCAGGAGCTGCACAGGCAAATTGAGGCAATGCAGTCTTTCAAAGGTCGACGAGTGTATAAGTAGTTTCTTATATGTCCGCTGTAAATGTTCATCACTCATAGAAGCTCGGCTGATGTTAGCAGGTGAACAGAATAGACAGGTACTCACAGCACTTCCAGGTCACGTAACGCTCGGAAAGCTCCATCTTCAATACAGCTGATGTGGTTGTAGTCCAACTGGCTGCACACACATTGGTACAATCACAAAAGAGAGAAAGGAAAAAAGGAAGCAATTATAAGATGCAAAGGTGTCTTGCAGTATATTTTCAGTTAAAATTGCAGCCAGACAGCCAACTCATCAACAGCCTCTCCCCGTAACCCGGCCACTTTCGCTTTAGTTCTGTCACCTGAGCTCACTGATCTTTAGAGATGAATTCTCAACAAATGAATGTATCTATGTATCCATTCCCCTTTCCTGCTCTCTTCTATCTGACGTCTTTTATGTATGCGCTGCTCTTTACCTCTTTCCCTATCTCTCTTTCTCTCTCCGTTTTTTTCCTCAGAACCGCTTTGCTGAAACAATTTAATTAAGACATAAGGACGGTAAATCATTTGCTGTCCCCCGCATGCTAATGCACACACTCACACTCACGCACACACACTGCCCTGTCCTTTTACAATAATTGCAAGGCCTTTGAAAAAAATGTTTTATCTGATTTAGAAAAAAACCCAGGCTGAAGCCAAATAGTTAAACAAATCTATATTTCTAGAATTAATGCTGGGCAATTACTTTACCTGCAAAATGGCCAACAATTATCCTCAATCATCATAACTATGACTGAGGCAAAACAAAGAGAAGAGAAAACCACCGAAATGCCAGGAGCACACACAATTAAACACATTTCCGAACACACACACACACACACACACACACACACACACACACACACACACACACACACACACACACACACACACACACACACACACACACACACACAAACACACATACACAGAAAGTATTGTAGGAGTGACACTTACAGGTTCTTGATCTCCACAGCTCCTCTGNAGCCGGCTGAGACGCTAAAGCAGCAGACGAGGATTTACAGCATCGTCCTCCTCCACAACACACACACACACACACACACACACACACACACACACACACACACACACACACACACACACACACACACACACACACACACACAACTACTAACGAGCAGCGGTGCCAGTCAATACAGCAAGCAGGAGGCACATGACATTTAACACAATGAAATATTGATGCACAGGCACATGGGGGTTTTGCACATTTGCAAACACATTGAAAAGCAATGTGTGTGTGCAAGCGTTTGTGTGGACACACAAAGATGCACCACACACACACACACACACACACACACAAACACACATACACAGAAAGTATTGTAGGAGTGACACTTACAGGTTCTTGATCTCCACAGCTCCTCTGAAGGCTTTCCGTGGAACCCCCTGAATTTGGTTCTCGCTGAGATCACTGGACAGAGAGATGAAACAAGAGAAAAGAGAGAAAGAGAGTGGAGAGTTAAGCCAAGTTGTCAATAAAGCCACTTGCTTTGCAGCACAAGTGCTTGATGTAATCACCAAGATGCTGCGGGGGAACTTCAGAGCCAGACAGATCATCTGCAAAATTGAGTTCCTTGCACACCGAGCACTCCTTCGCAAATATAATCAGGTGGCTCTGTCTATCTCTCAGTGACACAAAAAGCGCTGCCTCTGATAAGTGTCCACGTATCTGGAGGCAGACGCAATTCAAATGTCTGCTTTGAACATCCATCCAACTCAGGTATATGAGCCTATACATGCTTAAACAACCTGTAGGGGGCACTAGTGACCTCTACTTCCCACAGAGCTTCCTGTTCCCCCTCTCACTCTCCCACACATCTCCCCCTCGCCCCTGCCTCCCTCTGCTTTTAAGGAGAGAGTGATGGATGTGTGTGTGTACCATAGGGTTTACAGAGATTTAATTTTCAGCCACTTTAACTAAGCCGCAGCTAGAAAAAACTGCGAAAAAACAAAAAGAAAAACACTGTGCGCACACACACACACACACACACACACACACACACACACACACACACACACACACACACACACACACACACACACACACATCTCTCTCTCTCTCGTGCACACACACACACACACACACACACACACACACACACACACACACACACACACACACACACACACACACACACACACACACACACACACACACACACACACACGTGTGCTAATGCATTTTCCTCTTCACTCACGTGTACACAAACACACTGAATCACATGAACAGGTGTCTCTCTCATGAACCAAATATTCTACCAGCAGCAAAGTGAAAAACATGCTATCCCTGGTTGTTATAGCAACTTCATTTAGTGAAGGACAAATTAGGTAACACACACACTTACAAATGTAAATAAAGTCATGTAAAGGAGAGGGCTGAGAAAGGCAGATGCAAATGTAGGTAAAATGTGTGTGTGTGTGTGTATGTGTGTGTGTGTGTGTGTGTGTGTGTGTGTGTGTGTGTGTGTCTTCCGCCGCCAATACAGACTCTAGTTCCAGACGGACTCTGTGACCTTTCACCACTGACCCTCCAGCTCTTGACCCCGGCTGTGGCTGCGTGGCCTCCACCATGCTAATCGGCTAACAGGTAATGCCAAGCCACATTCCTTAGATTCCTGCGTGTGATCGTGTAATCAGTCCTGCAGTTATCATCCATCTCCGTGTTTCCACCTGCTTCTATATCTGAATCATGTTCTAAGGGATTATCTTTTTGTGTCCAACTGAAATTAATACAATTATTGCTTTTATTTCATGTAGAAGGTGAAATTGGATTGGCTTTTGATTGCCAGTTGACAGAGCAGGATATACACACTGAGCATAACATCTGCAGGTGAAGGTTTAACACGTACTAACTGCTACATATGACAGCAAACTATTAGACCTATGAAGTTACTTTAGTGTGTCTACTTTTCTTCAAAACAAAATATGAATGTGTTTGTGTTTAAAGATAGAAGAGAGATATTACCGCTAGAGTGGCACCAGTGTTGCATCAATCTCAGTCACTGTCTAATAACAACATATGAACATCTGTACCTGTACACACACACATGCACCAAAACACACTCAAGTTCAGATCAGGATTCAATGCTCTCTGTTGCCGGGATCAATCAACATTATCGTGGAATAAGACATTTCAAACAGCGTTAGATGAGAGAGGCTTACATTTGGCTGTTTTACACAACGCAAACATGTGTGTGCTTTTCCTAATGTGCGCACACACAAACACACACGGAGTAGCTGGTCTGAATCAAATAGTGTGTATCCTGATACTGTTTTTACAGGACCGGGGGGGGGGGGGGCTGGTTGGAAAACCACCATGATCCTTTAGTCGCTGGAGCTCTAAAACTAAATAAACAGAGTGAAAGTGCTCCCTAACCCCGCCACACACACACACACACACACACACACACACACACACACACACACACACACACACACACACACACACACACACACACACACACACACACACACACACACNACACATGTGATTGGCAGTTTGGGTTAGTGAGGGGCTCTTGAGGCCCAGATACACCGGCCCGAAATCGGCAGTAAATGGGAGTCAGGCCGAACATGAGCGTGGGCACGCCCTATTCGGAGTGGTGTGCGCCGCACCGTCGGGTCTTTTCTGCCGATTCAACACCGGAAGTCGGACAAAGGGATAACACTGATTGGCTGTTCAGCTAGCGAATCAGTGCATGAGAAGCGTTAACGGAAGTGAGGGAGGTAAACAAATGATTTAACACAAGCGTGAATCCAAGGGCTGCTAGCTCCAGTACCTCCCGTTCGTCCTGTTCTTTCATGTTTTCAATGGACGAGAGTGAAAATGGAAAGAAAAACGCTATTTGTTGTTTGTTTATATGACGGAGTCTGTTCTTCTTCTCTGTCTTCCGGTTGTTCCGGTTGTTGCCTCTTTTGAATGATGAATA